GTGTACTGGTTTTCGCTGATTGTGAGGCTGGCGGTGCAAATGATTTTTGGTGGCCCGCTCACGGACATCCGCTCCGACGACGACGACGAGGAGGAGGACGAGGACGAGGAAAAAATGACGGCGTCGTCGAGGAAAACGGCGGATGGAAAGGCGCTGTGGAGTGCGCATTGGCGTCCAGTTGCCTGCCTCTCTCTGGTTTTCACGATGAGTATGTTTTTTTTGCGTTGGCCTCTTAGTTGATTAGTGCCTGTCTCTCCTGCTTGCCTTTTGCCACTTCGTGGAACGCGGTTTGGGCTCACGCTGCTGCAAAGCTCAGGTGCACCGAACGTGGCTTCACTTTTCGGAGACACGCGCTTGCCGTGGAACCGTGGAGCAATGTTCATTTATTGTACATTTGGTGTGCCTGGCAGTTTTTTCTTTTTCTGCTAGTGGCATTTCTGACTGCACCGCCCGACTCTATTTCGGCCACTCGCTGCAGCAGCGGCCATGCCGAGGCGGAGATTACTGATAACTAAGCGGACACTGGCGCGGGTTGCTCTGCTGCTGTTTCTCTTCATTGCAGTCACGACTCTGCTGCCATTCTCGTTTGACACTGCCTTCTATGGTGCGGCTGGACCCTACAGTTCCTGCCACCCGCGAGCGGCAGCGGCTGATGACCCGGCACTACCTGATTGTGTTGGGCATCCTTTCGGTGGACGACGAAGTAAAGCGGAGGCGTCGCAACCTGAAGCGATCAACGTTCTGGCGGTTCCCCGGTGTGGTGACGCGGGCCAATGACTTCACTCGTGCGATGTTTGTGCTGTTTTTTTTTTCGTTGCCACCCGGTGCGTGGTTACAACTACTCTGCCGCGCTACAGGGAGGGAAAAACACGAGAGGGGGAAAAATGGAGAAGTTGGGTATCGATCCCAATACCTCCCGCATGCTAAGCGGGCGCTCTACCATCTGAGCTACATCCCCACGACTCCCATGGGGACACCAAATTGTGGACATATCCCGCAACCGTGTGAGTAACGCGGGGGAACGAAAAGATAAAACATAACTCAATATGAGTTTCTTTGCAAAGTGTGGGGAGTGGACGATAAGGCTGAGGAGAGGGCAAGTGTGTGTGCCCTTGAAGTGATGATGCGGTGCGCATAATAGGCATATATGTTGGGTATGAGGAACTTTGTTGGGTGCATGCTCCCTTATTTGCCTTGTTATTTGTTTCCTGTTTCTATTTTGTTTTATTTTGTCGGTTTGGTATCGTGAAACTCGTGGCAGTACTGCTGCCGCTGGCGGTGGCGAGGATGTAACGGGGAGGGGATGAAGGAGGGGTGGGCGTGGCTTCGCAGACGGGAGTACGCAATGCATGCATTGCAAAAGCTGTGTCTTGCCCAAGTCCTGTTGGGTGTTTCTCACTAGTTTTGTTTTTTTCCTTTTATTTTTTGATTATGTGTGTGGAATTCTCTTCACTCCTTCTCTGTCTTCTGGGCGGATTTGACGGTTGAAGAAATAATTTTCCCCTGCCCCTTGTAAACAGAGAGTAATAGGAAGGAAATTTTGTGACTTGCGCTCAGCAGTTATATGTCCCGTGTGCCAGATGCGACTGAGCCCGCAGTGCGGCAGAGCCCCGAGCCCACAGCAGTCTTGATACCGCCAGCATCAAACGCTGCATCAGAAAAGAACGCTGCGTTGGGAACACAGTTGCCGATGCCTCCGGAACTGTGCCCTGATGTGGAAATGTACCCAAAGGAAAGCCCCCAGCAGGCGCCAAAACACTGGCTGCTGCGACTTGTCAACATCATTGTGCCCAGGGGAGGAGCACTGTCTGGTATGCTGAATCTCGCGAGCGTCACGCTTGGGGCCGGAATTATCTCTATTCCGTCCGCCTTCAATACCTCCGGAATGGTCATGGCGATGGTGTATTTGCTGGCGGTGACGGCGTTGACGGTGTTCTCCATCCATCTGCTTGTGGCGGCGTCGGAGCGTACGGGATACCGAAGTTTTGAATCCTTGGCGCGTGGCCTCCTTGGGCGTGGCGCGGACATCGCTGTGGCGCTGCT